TCACGGGCTCGATAAGGTTATCGAGCCGACTCCTCGAGCAGCCTTCGGACTCGAGGCTCGTTAGTACTGTCTTCGGAGCTCACTCCCAAAATCCCACTCCGACTTCTTACCACTTGAACTCGATCGAACATAGGAAGGCCGAAATCTATTTCGACCATATACAACAACATTGAACCCGGACTTTTGCTGCCAAAGTACAACTTCACAACAGGAAAGTACACTTCACTACCATCCATGTCTTTGTAGCAAGTGTCGAAATCTTCGATTGGATTATCAACCATTGGAATATCTTCTACCTCAGATCTAAATATATCGCGAAATAAGATGTAGAAATCTTCAGGAAAATGTGTAATGGTGGTCCCTGTATCCTCAACGACTCCACCATTGAACCTTTTACCAAATTGCCACCATGACGGTTTCATTGGAACTTCCTTATCATTAATAAAGATTTTATAAAGATTGACAAAATGCAATTGAGGTAACTTGTAATTTGGTACTAATTTTGCCATTGTTGCTCCTGGCCATGGGGCTTTATTGAAATTGAGTGTAGATGATTCTCCTGAATCAAAACTTGGTAGACAAAAAGCAAATAACGTCGCGTTAAATTGTGATGGTAAAGAATATCCACCTGGATAATTCGGGTTTACTCTACGTCCAAGGCCAACGATCCCAGAATATCCACCACTAAACCTAACTTTCCCACCAATTTGATTTTTTCCACATCCAAACATAATCCTTTGTAATTTATGGTCTAAAGTAAAAGTAATCACCTCAGATGCCATGAAACCTACTGATCTGATACCACTTTCGTATGGTACATCATAGCGACAATAACGCATTTCTTCAATACATTCAAAACCTGGATCCTCAGTAATGCAACTCGAATTATCTTTAGTGCAATCAACATTTTGGAAAGTTTTTGATGCAGTAGAATTATAAATAGGATGATATATTTGCTTGTAGCATTGCCCACATGGTCCACATTGCCACCAAACCAAATCAGTGCCAGTGTCTACTAGCAAATAAGTTCTGCTGAATTCGCTACCAATTAAAAAAGACGCGACAAGCTCACCTTCTGCACTGTGTGTAGTTGTTAACCCTATGGCTCGTCCACGAACCATCCCTTATTTAACATTGTTACCATTTTCAAAAACCGAAGCCAAATAACTTGCTCTAGTATGCCCTCGAGCAAGACGAGCTCTGAGCATGGAGTCGTAGTCTTTGAAGTTTGATTTTTCAAATACATCGCGATGGTAAAGAGTAAAAGTATAAGATGGCATTGGAGGATCTGGAAGATTGGATGAATCAATATACATAAATTCTTTTCTAGTTTGCATAATGGAAGTGTAGTTAAGGGGTATTAAAATTGATTTTTCATTGCCAGAAACTACTAAAAGAATTGAGAAAATCATTGACATCAAAAGATGAATATAGATGAAGTTTTCCATTGGCATAAAAAGAAAGATGTTGTGCTTATTTTTCTTGATTTGGGTTGATATTTGTGCACTACTCCTAATTACAGTCATCTATATATAAATTTAATACAGATTAAAAGAGATTTGATTGATTTGTTTGGTATTTACTTGATTTTGGTTAAACATTAATTATTTTTCCATGAAATAATCTGAAATACAGCATGAAATCTCATAAGATATTTCAAAATAATAACTAGATCTAGCATCTATATTATTTGGGATTACTTATTAATGTAGCCATCACAATAAGAATTTGTGTTGTATTAAACATCAATTAGCTAATTAAGGAGCAGAAAATTACGCTTGATGGACCTTTCTTTTTTCTTTTTCTTTTTTCTCATAAGCTATCATATTTCTCAAGAAAGGTTCCAATGTATCCTTTTGTTTTTTTAATCTTAAGCCATTAACCTCCGGCAGGGTGCCTTTGGTTATGGGGGGTTTGGGTTGACCCCTACCATGTCAATATGTACCAAAAAAGTACAAAGCTAGAGGAGGACATGGACCTAACCTCCAACACAAAAGAAAGGAAGAGTTACATCTATACTTATGCTCTTCCATTAGAAAAGTATATACAAAATCAACTAACAAAAAAATTAGTCTTGTCATATCTTCTTCTAATGTTGGGAAGTTGTCATTTGTCTAGTTGAAATGGTCCTTTTTCCTCTTTAGGAAGTTGATTAAAAGAGGTATAGAAAGTACTATTTCCACTTGACGAGGCTAACTTAGCCAAGTAGTCGGCCACTTGATTGGCTTCCCTGAAACAATGTAGAATTTGTGCATATGCAATTTCAGTCATCTGCACAATTTCTCTGATCATCTTCCTTAGCTTTATATTGTTGGTGTCTCCACTTCTAATCATGTTGGCAATGTCTAAAGAATCCATTTCCAGGTCATATCTCGTGTACCCATTTTGGTTGCACCATCTAAAACCATACAATGCTGCAAATGCTTCAGCTTAATTGTTAGAAAAGCATTGAGTTGTGATAGAGAAAGCCATAATTAGCTCTCTTGTATTATCTCTAACAGTGCCGCCAATTCCTTCTTTACCGTTCTCACTCAAGAAACTACCATCTGTATTTATTTTGACTCTATCCGCATCGGGTTTGCTCCATGTCACTTGCCTCCATAGAACTATAGGTTTCAGTCTTTCAATGGCATCACAAATCTGTAACCAAGTACCTTCTATTTTGCATTTTGGGAATGCAATATACAAGGCAGCTTTAATACTTCAATGAACCTATAACTCTATTTTTTAGAATGTCATTTTCTTTTGATCTCCAAATTTACAAGCATTCCAATTTTTCTAAATTTCCCAACATATGCATATTGGAGCAACTTGTAGAAGCATTTTGTGGACATTATTCATAGGCTTAACATCCCCCTATTCCTTAAAAACTCTTCTTGTAGGCAAGTTTTGGTGCCTAATTCCCAGTGGAGCTCCAAATTTCCTCCAAGTACGACTAGCAACTTCTCCCTCGACAAAAACATGATGGATGGTTTCACATTTTGGTCTCTGACAGCAAGTGCATCTAGAAACCAATTGGTTCCCAAAGTTTGATATTATCTCATCAAAAGGTAATTTCTTTTTATACAACCTCCAGAACAAGAAAGACATTTTAAAAGGAATAGAATTATGCCATACCTTGCTTAGTTCAAGAGATTACTGTTTAGAGACTCTAATGCATTGCCAAGCAGACTTGTTAGTTGCATATTCCTCTTGATTAGAATGTCCTATGCCAATGTTATTAATCTGTTGTACTAGTTGTTCCGGCATCATGCTTCTCAGTTTGTCCAGATTCCATGCTCCATTCCTAATGTAATCCTTCACTTTGACCTTGGAACTTCTAGTAGAGCCTGAGACCATTCTGGCTAGAGCACCACTCTCAAACCAGTTATCCCACCAAAAACTACAATCTCCTCTATTAATTTTTCATATCATATTCGTCTCTGCTCTATCCCTTACTTTCATAAGATGTCTCCATGCCTGTGAGCAATTTGAAGTTCCAATCTTAGCTACTGGATGTACATTTTGACAATATTTTGCTTGCATAAACTCTGCCCATAGAGAATCTTGAGTTCTCAATCTCTACCATCTCTTAATAGCTAAGGTAGAGGATATATCTTCCATGCTTCTAATGCCTATACCACATTCATCGTTTGGAAGACATAGGTTCTTCCAAGAGCTCCAGTGATATTTGCCCTTGTCCCCATTGGTTCCCCAATAAAACCTGGCAAAATATCTTTCTAATAAGTCCAGAGTGGTTTTTGGGGGATTGAATGCACTGAGAGTATATGTAGGAATAAACTACAATACACTTTTAATTAGCACTGCTCTGCCTCCATAAGTTAGCATCTTGCCTAGCCATCCTCCGAGTCTCTTGACTTCTTTGGTAACCATGTTGTTGAAATAAGATATCTTTTTCCTTCTCACATATATAGGACACCCCAAGTAAGTGAAAGGGAAGTTCTTCTCCATAAAGCCAGTACATTCCCTCAGCCTATTGATTCTATATGCACAATTATTTGTATCTGTAAGGAAGAAGCTTCTGTCTTTGTTAACTTTTTGCCCAAAAGCCTTTTCATATGCCCTCAATTGTTTCATGATGAGTTTGACTGATTTCCTGTTTCCACTGCTGAAAATGACAATGTCGTCTGCATATGATGAGTGATTTATAAGTGGACCCCTGCGATTTATAGAAAAAGGAACAAAGTTTTCGTTAGTAAGTAAATTGTTTAAAGACCTAGAAAGAACCTAAGCTGCCAAAATAAAAAGAGAAGTAGAAAGAGGATCTCCCTGTTTGAGCCCATGTGATGATGTAAAGAATCCATTCCTAGATCCATTTATGATAACAGAGTACCATACATTATATATTAATCTCCAAACATGATTAGTCCACTCTTCTGAGAAGCCAAAATTCTTCAGTACTTGAACTAGGAATTCCCATGACAACCTATCATAAGCCTTTTCCATGTCAAGTTTTAGAACAATATGACCTCCAGAATTCTACTTGGAAATTCCATGAATAATCTCTTGAGCAAGCATCACATTTTCAGTGATGAGTCTACCAGTAACAAAACCACTTTGGTTCTCGAAAATTAGCTTGGCCAACATTGGGTTAAGTCTTCTAACCAGAATTTTGGAAATGATTTTGTTAGTAAAATTACTAAGGCTAATTGGCCTTAGATTAGAAAAAACAAGTAGGAGACTCCACTTTAGGAATTAAGGCAAGACAAGTGTGAGTATAAAATTTGGTCAGATTCTTTCCTTTGAAGAAATCAGAGACAAAGGCAATCACATCCTCTTTAATAATATCCCAACAGTTTTAAAAAAAATTACCATTATAGCCATCAGGTCCAGCGCTACTGTCAGCACTCAAACTGAAAATTTCTTCCCTAATCTCAAGACAATCAGGCATTCTGTTCAAAATCTCATTATCTTCCTCAGTAATTTTCCTAGGAATACAATCCAACAATCTATCATTCATAGTAGCTTGAATCATGTTGAATATCTGTTTTAAATGCTTAACTGCATCCCTAGCAATTTTATCATCCACTTGAATCCATCTATTCCTTTGGTTCTTGATTCTGTATAAGTGAAGTTTCTTCCTTTTGTTCCTTAGGACACTATGAAAATACTTGCTATTGCAGTCACCATCTTTAAACCATCGTATCTGAGTTTTTTGTCTCAATAGGGATTCTTGCATACCAAGCCATTTAATATATTCAGCATGTCCCTTATTGAGTTCTTCTCTTCCTTGCTCTGTATTGTTGTCCTGATCAATATCTTCCAGTAGCTGCATTTTAGCCTCCCAAATCAGAACTTGCTCGTTGACATCACCTATGATATCTCTGGACCACTTACTAAGCCTCTTACTTAAAGCCTTCAACTTGCTCTGAAGCCTCCACATTGCATTCCCATCTACCTTCATATCCTATACTTCCTATACTACCTCATGAAAGCCATGTTGATCAGTCCAAAAATTTAAAAATCTGAAGTACTTAATGTTATCCACCTGCTCATTGTGATATTTCATAAGCAGAGGCCTATGATCTGATCCAGTCCTGCTCAAGTGTTTGACAACAGTAGATTGAAATTTCTGAGCCCATTAATCATTGATCAATACCCTATCAAGTCTTTTCCAAATATTATTACATCATGTGAACTTTGGACCAATAAAGCCAATATCAGCTAGCCCGCAATTCTCCATCGTGCTGATGAAATCAAAGCTCCTATGATCTTTATGAGGTCTTATCCCCAACTTTTTCATCTGAATCCATAATCACATTGTAATCACCTCCCACGCACCAAGGTCCATCAATGATATCATTCAAATATTCAAAGTTGCTCCAAAGATCTCTTCTCTCCACAGAAGTGCATTTAGCATATACCGTGGTGATCACAGTTCCTTTGTCTTGTGCAGTCTCTTTAAAGTTGATACTCAGTTGTTGTTCTTCATTAGCAATTATCTCAAATTGATCAATGTAACTCCAAAAGCACCAGGTCTTGCCATTTATATTTGCCTTGCGATATTGAAAGCCAAGAAATTTCTTATAGCCTTCAATCTTATTCATATCAACAAAAGGTTCAATAATAGCAGCAAACGTTATTTTGTTGATGTTGATAAGATGCTTAAGTCTGTGAATAGCCTTTTTGGATCTTACCCCCTTATATTCTAAAGAATTATACTAATCATGGAATATAAGGTTGGGTGTAGACTGTTTTTGTGTTGTTCCTTTGTTTAAGGAAGTTTTCTTTTCATTTGTCTTCTTTCCTTTCCTTCCCTATTAAGATATTCCTTTTATTTCTTGGGGATTGTCTTGTTTGTCTTCATTTCCTGTATGTTGTGTTTGTTGACATTCTTCAATTTTGGTGCCGCTCAAAGTTTCTGTTTGGGAAGAATCTGCAGATTCACTTTGGTGTGCTACTTGTTTCTCAATTTTGTCGGGTGGTTGTGCAGGTATTCCTTCTAATTGATCACCAAATAACTCCACCACTAACTGAATTGTTGGTTGATTCTTGACTCTTGAGGATAGACTAGTGGATATTCTATCTTCATTCAAATCGTCTCGTCTCTTGTCTTGGTATTCCTTGTTTGTTGACGAATTTTGATCATTGATTTTGTCTTCATCAATATTATGAATATGATCAGTATTATTGTTGCTCATACTTTCTGTCATCACCTTGTCCCCATTGTTCTTTTCCATTCCATTCTTCACCTTGTTGTTGGACTTATTTGTATTAACATCATTATCTTTATTTTGTTGGCTTCCTTGCAGACTGAATGCTATGAAATTCTGTGGAGGTATGTATTCTCTGAAATATTTTTTTGCTCCAAAATTATTTTGGAAAAGGACTGGTTTGAAAATAACTTTACTCTTCTTTTTGGGCATGCTTTTCCTTTTGCTTTTCTTCTTCTTTTTCCTGTTGAATCTAGTTGTAGTTGTTTATTGTTCATCTGGCGGATCCTTTTTTTCCTCCATAACCTCTTTTGCCTGCACATGATAGAGCACCTCCTGATTTTTCATCTTTTTTGTTTTGTTATGATTCTTTTGTATGTTGATTTCTTGATTGACAACCTGTTTCTCCATGTTTTTTACCCAGGTTCCTTGGCATTATCTTTTGGCTCATGATTGATAATCTTCTCATTTTTATTACTCTTTGTCGTGTTTTTTTCCTCAACACCAGTTGACTCAAAAATCAATATTTCTTGCTTATCATTATCATTCCTAACATCCTCCTTGCTTCTACTACTCCCTTCCCCTGCTTGTAATTGTGTCTCCTTCATCTCATTGTCGTTCACCATAGTAGTTTCTGCGATTCTCTTTTTTTCAAGTACTCTGCAATTAATCATATTGTGACCAAGTTTCCTACAATGTTTGCAATACTTCGGAATGTTCTCATACTCTATCTTTTGCGTGTAACCTTTCAAAGGAGATTTCTCATCTTCCGAACCTACCCAAACACTATCTGGTAGAGGTTTTGTTAGATCTATTTCAACTCTAATTTTAGCCATGATAGGCCTAGTTTTACCAAAAGTAGCAGCGTCTAGAGCTAAAGGAGTCCCAAAATTGCTAACAACGTGTTTGACATAATGCCATGTATGCATATTGAATGGAATACCTGGTAAAAGCACCCATACTGGTACAATAGGAATGTCTTCATCCGGTTTGAAATCCGGTGACCATTTTTATAACCACATTTGTAGCCCTTGAATTTCAATCACCCTTCTGAACCATAAAGAGTTGAAATCGTCTTCATTAGTAAAGTCAATAAACACATTGTATTTGTCGTAGACTCCAATCTTGGCGGAACCCTTGATCGAAAAAAGTTCTCTGAAGGTTGATCTAATTCTTTCAATTTGGGGACGGGGCTTCAAGAATCTGCCCACAATTGTTAGCTTACATTCACCAGCCATAATTCCGTAATAATCCGAGGCCTTAAAAATCACCGCTGGGATCCCATTGTTGGTAGTCTGTCTCGCTATTACCGATTCTCTAGGATGTCGGGCGTTGGTTGTCTGAGTTGTGGTGGCAGTGGTTATAGTGGTTGCGTAGGTTTGTTTTTATGGAGTTCCTTCAGTAGGTGGAATCTCCATTGCAGGTGGGTTAATTTGGTTACTGGTACGCGCCGATTGGACTCCGTCCGACGGCGCCATAGGGTGGAGCGTGACAGTGACGCGCGTAAAAGGTTACCGTTATGACTGAAAAGTGCTTTTTAGACCTTTCATCAGCCAATGGACCTTTTTAGAACGGCCATTTAAAATTTTTTCCCGCTAAGAAAAGTCTTTGTGAAAGTAGCATCCGGGTAGAATTTGGGAAGTGCTCCTGGCGATCGCCAGAACTTTCCATATAACAAATTTAGAGTTTGCCATGTTTTGTGGCAAATCTTGGTGATCAATATTTGAAAAATTCTGGCGATTGTTTACACCACACCAATAGATGTATGTCATGTATTTGTACATTCATTTCTATCACTTAACCACAGTCAATTAATGCATATTTTTACTTCATGAAATCATTTGACCGTGGCAAATAAAATTGGTTTGGTGTAAGCATCTCGCGCGGATAAATATTTACCTATAAAGAGTTCTAGATGTATCACTAGGATTGTCAAGAATGAAATTCCAATTTAATGTCATTTTTTATTTTAAATAAGTTTTAATTATCTCGTATAATTAATACACATATTTTTCATTCCACATTATATCCCGTATTAACAATAAAAAATAAAATAAAAATAAAAAAATTTATATCCCGTATTAAATAATACAAAAATTACAAATATGTTATACCACTATATTGGTAATACACATTTGGTTTGTCGTATAGATCCCTGCATAACTTTTGCGAGTTTAATAGTAAAAGGGAAAAAACGCAAAGTTAGCTATGCAAATATCATATTAATCATACAAGATATTACACTAATAAAATATTGGATATATTATTTTGGGCAAATTTAGATAACAACCTTAGAATGTAAAGATTCTAAAATTTCTCTACATCAATCACAAGCATCTACACTGAAAGTTAGAACATTATTTTTAGTATCAAAAGTTAATCCTGTCCCTTGAAGTTGATTGGTGCCTATAATTGAAAAGTTGTGATTCCAACCAAAAAAACCTAAGCAATAATACCCTGCATTTTCTATTACAGCTCGTTCTTGTACTAACATCAGCTCTTGACTTGGAGAAAAGTTGCCAAAGTAAAACCTCACAACTGGGAAATATAATTCAGCACCAAATGGATCATCTTTGTAACATGTATCAAATGGACCAACTCCATCTTCAACTATTTCATAATCTTTAACCTCAAGTCTAAAAACGTCGCGAAATATAATGTAAAAATCATGAGGAAAACGAGTAATCAGTGTCCCTGTATCGACGATAACTCCTTGATTATCATTATTCCACCACGAAGGATCCACTGGAACAACTTTATCGTTAATCACAATCTTGAAAATATTGACGTTGTAAAAATGAGGGTTTAATTTATTTCTTACTAATTTCACCTCGGTTCCATATGACAACGGAGCTTTATTAAACGTGAGAACAGATGGTTGTACCGAAGTAGAACTTGGTAGACATAATGCAAATATTGACGACCCTAATTGAGATGGTAAAGAATATCCACCTATGGCTTTTGACTAACTCTTCGACCAAGTCCAGCAATTCCAGAAAATGTACCACTGAAATCTTGAGCACCACTTTTTTGGTCAATACTACAACCAAAATTAATCCTAGCTTGTGTATTGTCTGAAGGAAAAGTAATAACCTCGGATTGCATAAAACCTTTTGTTGTTTGTCCACTTCCATATGTTGTCTCATAAAAACATAAACTGCTACTTAAAGCACAATGAAAATGTGGATCTCCAGATATACAAACTGAACTATCCTCAACACAATAAAGTCTTTTGAAAGTTTTCGACGTGGTACGATTGTATATAGTATTAAAAACTTGTTTGAAACACTTATCTGCAACACAAGGTGCACATTGCCACCAAACTAAGTAACTTCCAGTGTCTATTAGTAAGTAATTTCTTATTCTTTCACTCCCAAGCATAAATAGGGCAACATAATGACTTTGATAGTAGGAAGTAGGTGCTACCTTTAGGACTTGGTTATGGATTTTACTCCAATTATGCATGTATTTCTCTTGAAAATCGGTCTCTTTTTTTATTTCAGTATCGCGGTATTTGAACTTTGATGCCAAGTATGTAGCTCGAGCATGATCTTGAGCAAGACGATTAGTAAGAAGAGACTCATAGTCTTTGAATTTTGATTTTTCAAAGATGTCGAGATGGTAAACACTAAAAGAATAAGACGGCATTGGAGGATCTTGAAGTCTGGATATATCAAAAGACATGAAAGCTTTTCTAGCTTGTTTAATGGAAGAAGAATTAATCTTGAAATATGATTTTTCATTGCTTAAACTAGCAAAGGATTTCCAATGAAGGATTGACACAAGAAGAAGAAGAATANATATATATACGTATTTGCAATCTATATATTAAGTAGTACATTAGCAATCTACATAGTAATTAGGATACTAATTCTAGGGTCAAATAATCAAATTTATATCTCATTATGTCTAGCAATATCATAGATAAATCTTGTACTTCCCTTTTTGGTTCCATACTTCCATTCTCCTAAAATTGCACTATTGGTTTCCGTAATTATTTCACAAAAATAGTTTGAATGATTTTCTTTACACGTAATGAGATATGCTTTTTATC